ATATCTGGGCTGTCCGTGTGCGTGAATCTGGGTCGTCCGTGCGCGTGAATCTGGGTCGTCTGTGCGCGTGAATCTGGGTCGTCCGATCGCGCGCACGCGGACCACTGACGTGGCTCATTCCCTGGACAGCGTGTCTTTGCCACGCGGCACACCCTGGTTGGTCGGGGCCGCTGACGTGGCTGCAACGTGGTGCTGACGTGGCACAACTTCTCTAAATTACGTTTTGACCCCCGGTTTCTGATTTTCTTTTCAAAAACATCCCCATAATTCAAATTTTTACCCATTTTTCCCAAAATCAATTTTAATTAAATCCAAATAATATTTTTACCCTATTTTATCATTATTATCATTTATAATTTCATTAAATTAAATCTAATTGAATTAAATTAAATAAAAATTGAATAAAATTCCAATAATTACAAAATAAAATAAAACAAATAAAAATGAAAATAATAAAAAAAAATGGGTGTTACATCATATGGATGTTATCGCTACACGTGAATCATTTTATTTAACATTTTCAATCACGAGTCGTCCCCATACTCCGTCCGGTATGAGTGCCAATTTGTCAAACCTCAATACCCCGTCCGCTATGAAGGTGAAGCGGGTCGTCTCATACCTCATCTGGTATAAGCGCCAAATTATCAAGTCTCTATACCCCGTTCGATATAAGACAACATTCATGGTAGGATTCTCTATATACTTGGTCCGTCCGTCATCTCTCAGGATATCCAGTAAGACTATCGTTTCATATATTCATTTCATCACGCAATTTTTACTGTTTAACCTTTATTTTTTTTTACTCAGCAGTTAACACATATAATAAATTATACATGCATTCAAGCCATAAAATTAATTAATAAGATACCATCATGCATATAAACTGTAAAAATAATCAACAAACAACAGTAGATAATTTTCGATTCTAGCTCCATTAGCAATCCGTAATTAATTATGCACATTTCTTAAATTCACACAAAATATCGTATTATTATTTATTTAGACTTCAATTCTATGATAGGAAATAGAGTGAGGGATCTTTACTCGATTTGGTACCCAAAAAGCCAAGATATTCGATTGCGCCTATGAGTGATTCCCGGATTCTCTGAATTTTTCTTCAGGAATTAAAATGCGCTAATAGTACCTATAAATACCCCAAACAAACCCAAAATCAGTCCCAAGGCCCACTTGGCCAATTTCAAAATTTCGGCACGGCGGCTCCGCCGTGCTCCGGCGATGATGCCGCCACCCGCAGCGGCGGTCCGCCTCAAGTCGGTTGTTTTCAGCCGTTTTCGTCCAAATTCGGTTGATTCTGCATCGATCCCTACGAGAAAACACATTAAAGGGTCTCAATTGGCCAAAAAATACTAAAAACTAAAACTCACCGGCGGCGGGGCTCTTCGGTGTTGCGACTCCTCTAGCCCAAAATTATTTTCAGTTTAATCATTTATCAATTTTACTTCATTTTTACTCTAAATTAAAATTAAAAAAATTAAGAATTTACATTTATAATTAAACCTTAAATTACAAAAAAAATAATTTAATGTGTTACATTATCGTATTCACTCTACTAATTAACCAAAATAAAGTATAAATACTGTAAAAGCCCGAACCCTCATTAGGGATTCTTACATTATAACCCATAAATAGTGGAATTAAACAATACTAAAATTTATAATTTAACGAAAATAATTTAGAGTTATATATTTTTATTTGTGATAATATGTATATACGTAATCGTAGTAATAAATATAATAAAATGATAAATATATTATCATATTTACTCTACTAATTAGCCAAAATAAAGTATAAATACTGT